GTGCAGTACTCGTAACGGCCCAGAATCTACTGGTGGCTGTCTTCAATCTTCTCCTGTTGGCACTAGTCCTGGGGACCATCTCAGTGCCCGCTGTCACCATGTTGGGCTTCGGCTTTCTCTGCCATTCCCAGGTAAGCATGGGGCCCCAAGGGGTATGCATGCATGTATGGTGGTGGTGTGGTGTCTTTGAGCCACAACCTCCCGACCTGGGCTGTGTCCCTCCGGGGCAGTGTGGCTCGCTGGGCTAGAGTCTGATGTCTCATATCTGCACAGTTCCTGCGTTCCCAGGCACCCCCTTGCACCGCCCATCTGCGGGACCCAGGCTTCACGGCCCTGTTGGTCACTGGATTCCTGCTGCTGGTGCCGCTACTTGTGCTTGCCTTGGCCACCTACCGCCGCCTCTGCCTGCGCCTCCGCCTGGCCGACTGCCTAGTACCCTACAGCCGAGCCCTCTACAGGCGCCGGCGCATCCCACAGCCGAAGCAAATCCCGGCCTCACCAGGGTCCCGGGCAGTTCCCACACCGGGAAAGGTCTGGGTTTGAGGTGCGTTGAATCAAGAATTCTGTCGATTGTTCTCCTGGTCGCGAAAGGACTTGAAGCCAGCCCAGGGATATTCTGCCCTGTGCTGCTCCTTACCACTGCCTGAGTCAGGTCTTGGCATCCCTTTGATGGAACAGCATCACCTGTGGACCCAGTGCTGGCGAAAATGCCCCAGAAAATCTCATTTGAATCCTGAAGGTTTGGGCTGGACCCTGCACATCTTCTTTCCCTCCCCAGCGTAAATAGGAGAGCTGGACTAAGTGCCTTCCTTTGCTGGTGCAGTTCCTCTAATTAATTTACGGGACTGAGGGACAGGGCTAGAGAAGACATCACAAATAATAAAAAATGTGTGGAATGAATGTGCTCTGTGAATACAGGGGCGATACGTATATATAATCGTTCTTGCCCAGGGCTCAGGAGCAGGGAACAAATCCCGGAGACTACAAATGGGCAGACCAGAGCATCCTGCCTCTCCCTTATCGCGTTAGCCCGTTCTTCCTGGTTAGACCCCAGAGTTCTGACCCTGACCCCGAAGTCACTTCTCCATTAATAGCACAGAGGGGGCCTTGCTTCAGCTGCCTACCCAGCTCCCCTTGGGGACCCGAGCCCGTTCTCTGACCCCAGCTTAAAGGAACTCAGTGTTACCAGGCCGGGGTG